TGAATGCGTCCTTGTTTACTCCCTATCAACACGTCGCTGGGACAGTGGTTCTTCCCCAGCAGCCTTTAATGTCAGGTGCTCCACGACCGCAACAATCAGAGGGATGATCTGAACACAGGTGTCATGCATAAAATTAAATATAATAATTTGACCAATATTTAAGCACTGTTATATAAACAAAAAAAACTTGGGGCAGCCAATGAGAGTCTAAACCACCCCGTTGGCCCCGCCTATGCTGATAAACCCTCCTGATATATGTAGGTTGCTAAAGACTTTTATTCTGACACCATATTCAAGCCATGTACTACTTTCACCACTGTTGTTTAAGATCAAAAATGAATTTGGGCCTTTTATATCGGATAGTATCAGTTTTCTTTCCAATGAGTGTTGCAGCCTCAGCACTGCTCGCAGGGCTACTGACTCTCTGTAGCTTTTAGCTGATCTTTCCATCTGTAAATCTCTTTCTGGATTGTGGAAGTGACCTGACCTTGACTGATACATCTTGTTGTGTTAAAAAATATGCATTGTGTGCTATTATAATGATTATGGAGGACATATTTATACTCCAAGTGAATTAAAATGAGTGCTGTCTTAAATGTCCTCTGAAGAGTAAGAGGTGGAGCAGAACCACATTAGTAATGAGTGACTCGGATAATGTTTGTGAAACAGGCCGGAAATTCATCCTGCTCATGTAACTGCAGTTCACAGATGATTAAATAATATGGTATCTGTGCAACAATGATTAAGTCACTTAAGATCACAGCTAATGTGCTAATGATCAAACACAGTATAGATGCACAGAGTGTGAACATCCAGACATAGAGACAGCTCCCCTTTCACTGAAGGCTTTCCATCCAGGCTCACTGTCCGTTAAAGTGAATATTTCCCTCCGACTTTAAGAAAAGGCACTTAGACGTCTCCAAATTAACCTCACGAGACCGACTTCCTGTCAGCTGCAGTGTGCACTAAATGTGTAGCAACGGGCAGCTCATCAGCGCTTTGAAGAAATGTTCCGTATCAGCTTTAGTGCAGTGTGGGGACTGAGTACTTCTGGCACATTGTTTTCTAGTTGAAGTGGTGAGCACAGGTCCTGGGACTCTTCTACTTCAAGCCCCGAACGCCTCCCTCTCAGCATTCTGGAGCCTCCTGACTTAGAAATGAAGCTCTGTTCCCCACATGACAAGAATACTAGTTCTTCTTAATGAGTCTTGGTCCTAGAGTGAAACACATTTTACACAATGTAGCTCCAAGGCTGCAAAGCCTCTTATAAAAATGTAACAACCAAAACCTTGTTTAACACTCAAAAGCGATGAATAATAATAATAGAAAACAAAGAAAACAGTGACAGCATTCATTTTTTCCCTGCAGTGATTTTATTACAAAGTTCATGAGGACTTACAGTATTACAAGAGAATTTGTCAACATGCGAAAACAGAACAAAGCAGAACACAGGAGTTTAACAAACTGGTAAGATAAGACAATCCACTGTTCACGATAAACATAAAAACTGATTAAGTCCTCAGGAGGTGGGAGCCGGTGAATGACTACAGTGCAGGCATAGAACGGCCACATTCACACTGACTCAGCAAAGGTCAATCCAACCAAGGCAAGATGTGCACATCTCAAGAAAACATGTTACAATTTTTATATGCCATCGGCTTTTCTCAGAACTTTTAGAAAGCTTCACTTGTATGTACATAAAACTGTACAAAAACATGGCATCACAAGCATTTTATCCTATATAAATATACCAACAATTAGGATAACAACTAGATTCTCTCTTGCAAAGACATATTTTCAAGGCAATTGTCTTTGTTCTAGATGAACTGTGAAAAAGATGAAATGTTCAGTTAATTTCAGTTCGTTTGGGAGAGGGCCTTTTGAATATGAACCAGCACTGACATTTCATAAAGTAAAATAAAAGGAAAAAGAGTAAACAGTTTCTACCAATTATCTTTGGAATTCATGCTAAAATCATAGGCTGCCTGACAGCAGACACGGTTGTGGAGATCTATGTACACTACACCACCAACAGATTTCTTTATTTTTTCACACAACCACTTTGCTAAGAGTCTTTGATCAGTAAGAAAAAAAAAATCCCTTGCCAATTTCAGTACAGTAATTTGTCCATCTGTCCACATAAATGATCACCATACGATACACACTACAGAGAGGCAAAAGATACTAGTGAATTCAACATTAAATCAATGTTAAGTACAAATTAAACATTATTCAACATACTTTTGAGTGTATTTAGGTGCTTCATGATGTCCTCTTACTTGGATCAAAAAGAACCGTTCTGTGTTTGAGTTCATTCAGCATGAGTTCAAAAGAAAGGTCAAACCTGGTGATATATTGTTCCAGGGGAGAGTAGCAGGAGGTCATTATCGGCTGGAGTGAGAGAGTCCAACTCATCTCGAGAGGGGAGGGGGGAAATAAGCTCAGCCTTGTTTTTGTTTTTGTAGAGGACTCCAATCAAACTCCTGTCATCCCATTTGGTGCAACAACCGACGATTACCACTTATCTGCTAAGAGTTAGCCCCATTTAATTAATGTAGTGGTGATCAAAGAGACAAATCTGAAGATACGTTCCAGATTCACTGACGTGATAAGAGTACTCAGGCTGGAATCAGGTTGAGATTTAACCCCAGAGATAAATCTGGATGCGAAGCAGTTGTGAATCAGAATTAAGTCAAAGCATTTAAATAGATAAAGTTATGATTGAGGCTATGTGACATTGGTTTTATCACTCAGTGCTATCTTTCTCACTTGTCATTAATTCCAGGTCAGTGATCTTACCCGCTGCTTTCAGTTCGTGAAGCGGCTATCTACAGCTCTGAGAGGGGTGCTCGGGGGAGCCGTGGGGGTTTAATCACAGTGTATCATGGCTGTTGTTTGAATTTTATTTCAGTCGCTAAATGGCTTTGAAAACGGCATAATGTGCTTTCTCCCCCTCAAGGCAGGATAATCGCCCACCTTATTTAATCATGGCCATGTCCAGTAATTTCCATATGTTTTCAGTTTAATTATTCGAAATGCAGTTTTCAATGGCAGCATGATGAGGTAAGTGCTGATAAAAATACCCCCTTTAACTGATTGTAGCTCTGCGGGTGGATTTGCATTATCTGGTGGGTGCCTTGTCCTGGGGGTGTGCTCACACATGCCCTAGCTCAGGACTCATTACTCACCCTAATTAGGAAATGTCCATTTTTGGCTCTTCCACCCTTACTCAGAGACACAATCTCACTATGGAAATACTCTGCAGAGGTGAAAGGTATCTACAAATCGAATCAAATCAATGTTTAAATCAAAGACACTGGCCAGCTCTATGATGTTGTAAGGCAGGCTAGTGTAGTCATCATTAACATCCAATTAATCACTAATATATAGTGTCCTTCAGACATATCCTTCAGATTCGCTCGGAAAATCTTTGTAAAGATAAAGGAAGCCCACGGGCATGCCCTATTTTTTATTCTCTGTTCAATAGCCAGAGGAGGAAAAACGCCTAATAACTTATTAAGCATGTTGTCCTCAATACAAAGAAAATCATCATCAAGTGGAGCTGCAGTAAATCGTGCCTGACTGCTGCTCTGCAGACCTGTGTTTAGACTCAACAGTTTTCTGCATTTTCAGATATCAATTACTGATACCGCAGCAAATATTTACTCACGTTATTGACAATAACTCTAGAGATTTATTCAAACCTATCTATTTAATAGGTAGTTTCTGTGAGTGCTTTGTGCATTGAATTCACCTCTGAAGAAGTATGTATCTAGTGAGAGCTGATATTTTGAAAAACAAAGAAAGAGCTGTGAATGTGGAGCACTCGTGTAGTTTACATCAGCTTGATACCAACTTCCAAAAGTGCTCCATCTCTCCAGTGGCTCTCAACACTGAAGTGCCTTTTCATGTAAATAACTTGCGCATTCATCAGATCTACTGAAGTTCTTATAGACCATGAGGGGAGAGGACGACGAGCTTCAGAGGAAAGCGTTGAGCCCGTCTGATTGTCACAATAGAGAGAAGTGTTTTAAACTGAGACACTGGCATGATTTCATCAACAGGGTGAGTCACAAGGTTTCATAAGAAAAGCCAATCATAATATGTCGGGTGAGTACTCTGCGTTTGGTCATTGCGACTCCGGGGTTACTGTGGCCAAGTCAACCGTTTTCATGATGAACGATAGGTCACAGTGCTCAGAGTCAGTGGAACATAATGTCAGTTTAAATGTTGCCACACAGCTTTCTCCACCAGTGGCAGCGCTCTACAGGGAGCAGAGGTAAAGGCCATTCTACCATGATTAGGGGTCGAAGGTGTGTGTGATTGCGTGGAGCGGATAAATGCCTTCCACAATATCGAGCTCCACTTCTGGAGATGGTTTCAATCAAGTTTAAACAGCAGCAGCAAAGAAAAGCTTAAATATGCTAAAATTCTGAGGCAATTTTTTTTTTCAGCTTATGCCAGACAAAAATATATGTAGAACACACCATTCAAATGTATTTACAGCACTGTACATTAAGATAGACCGTTTCATTTGATTGTTAGTCAAAAGTCTAAACTTGCCTTTTGATAGGGCCTGACTGGCTGTCTAGGAAATCATATCTAAAATGGCACAAGAGCACTGATCACAACTTTCAAATTCAAGAGATCACTTCACAGAATGGGACGTGGCTAACTACAACAATAATCACTTCCTACTAAAGTAGCAATTTCCATCTGTATTTCCTTTTGATCTGTTTGAATTGTATCCTTCAAGATTTAGTATAAATAAATCAGTGAGTGCATCAATTAACTGTGTGGAATTCTTAATAAATATGCTAATAACTTAATAATTTAAGGAGCAAATGACAAAAACAAGTGTCCATGCCAGTGATTGAATGAGTCACAGCCTATTGTTACCTACAAAACGGGCATTGGCTTTAGTGTGTGGACAGCCTGTTTCTCCTCCCCATGTGGGTATATCTTTCCTCATTTGTGCACCAATCAGATGATGATAATTCTCACAGGTAAATTTCTCTTTTTGGAGTGTGGGCAGAGGGGGAGGTGGGTGGGAACTCAGAGGCTACGCTCAGGGGCATCTCCTCTAAGGGGCAGTCCTGACTGGCGTCGTGACCGCTGCTGGAATAGGCACTGCGGGAGGGCGGAAGGCGCGATCGGTGCTCCTCGCCACCCAGCCTGACGCTCCCGTTTGCCAGGCGTCCCAGGCTCCCTCTCTCCTGGTAAGGCACGAAGGTGGAGAGTTTCGGGGGGTTCCTGGTCTTGCGTACAGGGGAGGGATGCCCGGGCATCCAGCAGGCGTCTGAGTGGCCCAATTCGCTGCACTCTGTCGTACAGTTTCCGGTCATTGCCACATCAGGGAGGGAGCGGATATCTGTGGGCAGGAGAGAGAAAACGCCGCCATCAGAGAGAGCTGCATAGTGACATAAACATCGGAGCAACATTCATAAAAGAAAAAAAAAAGTCATAAAAAGGCATTTGTGAATAGAAATGGTGTCATCCGAAACACCCCATGAAACCCACCCCCCTCCTTGAGGTCTTTGCAGCTGTTGCTAAGCAGTCAGCAGCAGTTGCTATGTAGCTGTTGCTATGCACTGTGTAATGAGCGCTACTGTGTGTGTGTGTAGTCCACAAGCCGATGTGATACATTCAGGAGACAGCATGCTGTGTCTATGTCATTTAGAAGTATCCAACAGCAGTTTGTCTGGTATATCTGTAATACAGTACATCATCGTATTGTTAACACGATCAGAAGCAACATATTGATCTCTATTCGAGGGCTGTGAATGCTGCTCCAGATATGTGTCACCATGGAGAAAGGACTACAGGGATGGACAAAATACTACAGACACACACGCTGCAGACGCAGAATTTGGTTACAAAGGGAATGGCTCCGTCCCTTTGGGCAAAACCACTGCTGACTGAGTTATTGATTGACAGTGCTGAAATGAGTTCCCTGCCCCTGATTATCATCCATTTTTTATTCAACTGCTCCTAATTAAATAAATGGGTCCATGACCCAGTGACCTCGTTTTAATGTACAATCTGTCAAAGCTCCAAAATAAGTTTGCCTCAGCTATCAGTCAAGAGGCTCACACAGTCTCTGAAAGTAAAACTGCACTCAGGAACCCATGGATTTGTTTACCAGAAAAGTGCAGCTGGCAAACAATAGACTTGTTAAGCAGCCCACCTGTTGACAAGCTAAACATACAGCCAAGATTAAATGGAAATACCACTCAATTTATCTTTGTTATCCCTTCAGTCTAGGACTAGGACAGCCAAATCAATGTCTGTGAAGAGAGGAACAGACAACTAAGATCCGCGAGTCTGTGATGTCCCCTGCATGTAAAGTTTTGATTGCTGTGATAAATGCATTACTGTAGTGCCACAGTGTTGTTCCCGCCGTGGAAGAACACGTCCATCACGGATGCTCGGACTTGTTTTGTGGCAACAGTGGGACAGTGTGTGAAAAAAGAGAGCAAATGTATTCACAGGGAAAGCGGAGAGGTTCGGCGCTGCACACACAACAAGCAGAAAGATGTTGCTGCATGTGAATGATGCAACCACAAGAGATGACGTATTAGAGGTGGTGGCGAGAGTTCATAGCTAACAGAGAAAATGCCAGCTTGACAGTAAGCCTATGAGACATAGCATCAGTATTGTACTCATGACCACTGGCAAGATAATTATCCCACAAAATGTCAGACCTCTGAGGCTGGAAAAACTGCATCTGGCCCACCAAGGCTTCAATCAATCACAAGCCAGAGTGACACAGCATGACTTTAAATCTGAAATTCCTTCAAATAAATGTATGGAAGTTATTTGTTCTCGTTTCGTTTCCCTTATTTATGTCTAAAATATTCATTTCTCATGGATAATCCACATACAATTGTCCCAATGTTTATTAAAATAATAATAATTGGACAAGAAGAATGCATAGCTTGATCTATTGTTGCGGTTAATCTCGTTGTTCCTGTAATCCTAAATAGCTAGATGTTTAGGCTTTTTAATACATTTACTTCACAATTGAGCAATGTTCTGCCTTACTCATGCTTAATTATATCATTATGCTTAAGTGGCAAACTCTCCTCTCTGTTTATGAGGCCAGTGCCAGTGAACTAAGATTCTTTTCAAATGAATGAACCACATTTTAATGCTTGATTAGGAGAGAAGAAACTGAATTTGGAGCTTTAGGAAAAGACAGGCAACCCAGGCATGAGTGTGTGTGCACACACTGCCTGATGCATGATGATTGGAGTTTCATTTTCTCAGCTCCGCTAAGAGCGTTGTCTGTATGCATCACTGCAGTGAAATGGACTCTTGCTACAAAAGATGTTCACGGGAAGAGACTTGGGGAGAGGGTTGAGGAGTACGCTTCTAAGCACAAGCACAGTCGTGTAGGCATCTACTCCAAAAGGATTTCACACTTGATTAAAACCTCTCCACAGCTTCCAGGAGGTTTATGCCACACCAAGCGGCCTCGTGTAAAATTAGATCCACAACTACAAATCAGTGTATGGACAAAAGATGTACATTTACACAGGTTTTCTAAAACACTTCACATGTCACAGTTGGGCATATTTATTATTTTATGAATTAGAAATTGCCTGTATGTGTGTGTGTGTGTGACAAGGTTTGGTATGAACACACGTACAGCTAACTCACAGTGAGGCACAAATATTTATATTTGCCTATTAAATGCCGAATTTCTCTTTTAACTCATTCAGCCTCTTTAAAGAAAAGATAAAAGACGTAAAGATTAACACTGATTTCCACATCTTCACTGACACTGACGCTGGCACTTTACTTTAGGTCGACTGTGTTTTGAGAAAATATAATTTGGACTTATTTAATGGAATGCCAGATAAAAGAAAACATGTAATATAAAATGATACCATGCACCGGTGACAGGAATTAAAGCACATACTGAACCGTGCTCATCATCATCAAGGGCCAGAAAATCAGCAATGACAGCTAAATACACCGTCTAACTTGCCAAAGTCTGCCATTTTCTTCCAACGGTGCCAAAGCACATATCACGCACGTCATCAAGAGAAAACATAGATGCTCTAATGCCAGCTATTTTAGTAGGCCATTACCTTGTCTGTTAGTGTTTCATCTAAATTTTATATGGTTTTATTTATAAAGTAGGTTTGACACATTGTCTGTTCTTACCAGACAATTTAACAAACGAGAGCTCTATATTCAACTGCAGCCTGTCACGTTGGAGTAATTGTTTCTACATGCTGTCATTAGTGTTCTATAGTGCAGATAATTTCCAGTCACACAGGTCAGTTCACAACAGTTATTCAACATGTAATAATAATAAATAGTTTATTGTTGTTACGACAGCATGTTATGATAGGGTGTATCATTTGTGAAAGCACAAGTTTGAACATTTGCTTGCACTGACCTTTCTGTCACACTCGAATCCATCTCCACAAAAAAAATCAATACTGATAATTATACTTTTGTGTCTGCCTTTTGCTGTGGCCATTAGCCATCTGTAGCTGTAGTACCCACTTACAGTGTGGCAGAGTACTGTACTGTCTGCTCTGCACATCAAAAGCACACTCCCACTCTGAGCTGCAACAATCATTGTTTGAATATTTGCTGGACACGATAAAGCAAATGAGTCAACCACGAGGTGAAGGAGCAGCCAAAGGCACACTGGGAAAATTGGTATTTTCTCACCCACTCAAACCTGTTTTCTGCTGTACCTATACCTGAAATAAATCTGCTCACAGTCTGGAACAAACCCTTTAGAGTTTATAGTCTTGTATGTCATGGATGGAGAGCCAAGGTGGACAATGGAGAACAGATGGGCAAACCACAGCACTATTATGCCAGTGGCTGGAACAGGCTGACTGGATTTAGGGAGCTTGTGATTTGGTTTTGAAGAGCAGTGACTCAATGACATTTCTTCCTCTCTGCAGAGCAGAGCTCTTTTCCTCTAGTCTTGGGGATAGATTGCACCTGCAGCTTCCTCCTTTTTTATATTGGGTCAGTCCCATATTCCCGCTTAAAGCAATATCATGAAATAAAAAAAAAAAAAAAAACAAGACAGTAATTTCCACCTTCCACCACCTTCAGTAGCACATCACACTGAAGCTTAACGAAGCTTCTAAAAGCACCTCCAATGCAGTAGCATAACATGCACTCCACAGTGCAGTTACAGAGTGGGGGTACACACAGAGCTTAACCCCCCGGCTGACAGATACATGTGAGGGGTGGGTTTGCATGCAGCTTGCATCAGTGTGCCAGTGGGAGGTGTTGAGTGTCTGAGGCAGGCTTCCTCATCGTCTGATCCCCTGCCCACGGGCATGGGGGAAGCTGCCTCTTCCTGAGATTTCACACTGCTCCTCTCTGTTTGATTGCAGCCTCTCCCCACCGGCTGCTTTCCAGCGTGTGCGCCACACTGCTATGATCGATGGCGAACAAATATGAGCGACCCACACCTCATGGAGGGATAACGGGGAAAAACAGCCACTATCGTTTGGGAGTGTGTGAGTGATATTAATGGTATATTTGTGGTCCCTGCAAACAGTTTATGTGGTAAATGACTAAAAAGTTCCAAGAAACAAAAGGAAAAAGAAGAAATATCCCACATGTGAGCAGACATTAGTGTCTGGTGCTGGCTATCAGTATAATAACTGTGTGTGAATGTATTCTGTGGTTGTCATCCTCCGTGAAGAAAAACAAAAAGAACCCAGGGTTTTGTATTTCTTTAGCTATGACATGTCAAGTCTTGTTATTCAAGTGCTCAGAACACTTCCTCACAGTAAGCAGAAGCTACCAAAAACAATCCTTTTTTTCCTCCAGAGGTGCATTTTTAAGAGAGGAAAACTTGCTACAAGCACACAAACATAGTGTTGACATGCACGTTTTTCCTTGCTCAGTGTAATGGAATACAAACCTTAGACGTGCACTTTCACATCTCAGGAGCAAAATTACAATGTGTAGGCTTGAAGGCTTTGTCACCTTGCCTTTAGAGAAAGTGAGATGTGAGATAAAGCTGCAGTTAACTATTTAGTGGCAGTGCTGTGGTGTTATTCTGCAGGTAATTGGCATGCCAATTAATTCCATGTGTTGTGCAGGATACTTCACGTACACAGCATCACCTGCCTCTTACACAGCCTTGTTGGATACGTTTATTTTTAAAACCTATTATAAATGTATTGTTAATTGATTTCATGTCTTTTGTTTCAGTTGTCAAAATGAAAATATATGAATACATCACTTTATAAGGAGATAATTCAGTCTCTGTTTGGTTTCTGGGTGTAAATGTTGTGGAAACAGGTTAATCACTGTCAGACTGTCTACAGAAGATGATGCCAGGATGAGAATTTGGTAGCAAAGTTTCGGGCACGCGTG